GTGCATTCCGCCTGTCGTCCACATGGGAGTCCTTCAAATCTGAATGTGATCATCTAAAGATGATGTTTACAAACCTCAAGTATCCCGACCACCTCATCAATTCCACCATCTCTCACTTTGTCACCTCAGTTAGGTCGGAAAACCCTGGAGTGCAAGCTCAATTATCCGTCAACGAAAATGCTGTTCACCGAGTGGTTTTGCCTTTTAAAGATCAAAAGTCAGCTGACGCAGTGAAAAGGCAATTATCAGATCTAAGCAACAAAATCGATCACACCCTTCATCCCGTGTTCAAGAGTCGCAAAATCTGTGAAGATCTCAGAGTACGTGAGCCTAAACCTCCTATAGTTAGCCAACAATGCGTTGTATATAATTATAAATGTGATCTGTGTGATGCAGAGTACGTCGGGTACACCAGCCGGCATTTACATCAACGTATTAATGAGCACCGTAATTCGGCCATCGGCAAACATCTAAAGAACGACCACGGCCTACAAACCATCGGCGACCTGACCAAGCATTTCAACGTACTTAAAAAGTGCACCGGGAAACTGGACTGTTTAGTTCATGAAATGCTTTTCATAAAGAAGATGAAGCCCTCTTTGAACAAACAATCGGATTCCATACGCGCGAAACTATTTATTTAATAGTTTACATTTATGAACTCAACACGCGCAATTATTTATTTAAATATTTTAAATATTTTAAACTTTTTACGTTTGCCACCTTCGTACGGTATAAATTAACTATTCATTTTTATTCTCTTCTCACTTGAGAATGATGACATGGAGTCATCGAAACGTTGTGTGTTTTTCTCGCTAGTGTTTATTCTTAAATGTCTAACAAAATCCAATGTCATTCGAAAATAAATTAAACAACGCATTGCAGCGTAGGAGACTAGGAGAGAGAATATCTGCCCTTTATACATAAACTACAGCGTTCAAAATGTTTATAAAACAATTGGTTTATGTGTCAGCTGTGCGTTCGTCGAGAGTTAAAGCATTTGGGAAGTTTGGAGAGCACTCAAGAAGCCAGAGTTGCTCTCAGCTGCGCCTCGAGCAACTCTTAGGCATCTTTAATTCGTGATCTCAAAAATTCCCGCGTGCTTCAAGTCTCGATGAACGCACGCTAACGCATGAACCACTTGTTAATAGGGATTCTGGGCTCTGTCCTGGTGTACCGGTTCACAACAAATTTGTTGTGTTAGCAAAGGTGAGACATTCGCAGAGAATGAATGACTTTTGATCCCTATCTGGATTATAGCAGAAAAGGAGGGGACAGTTTTATCCGCTCATTGCCAAGGTTGTAGGGACGGGCTAGCTGAATCATGTTCGCATATTGCAAGCGTTTTATTTTACGTAGAAGCGTGGACGAAGATAAATAGTAGTCAAACTCTTCCGATTGCGTGCCGACGTCAACAAACAATCTTGAGTCAGTTTGTGTGCCTTTCTCTGTGGGCTTCGCTAGACTTTCTGCTTCGCTACCTTGGAAGTTTAAATCTAAACTTTGCTGCCCCGATTCGCTAATTTTGAATAACTTCTCCCTCTCAGACTCTAGTACTTGCACCCTTTTGGCAAACGAAAGGTTTCTTCACCAATTCGCGTTCCCTCGCCCTCTTACTTCTTTTTGCTGCTTGTTCTCGATCCGTACGACTAGTCTCCTTATTATGTCCTAAATTTAGAGTTGGGATCCAATCAGTGTTAAATTTACCCCATGATTTTGCGGCCTTTCCAGAAACAAAGTGTTTCTCACACACGCGATCGTTTCCAAAATGGTATCGGTGAGATCGTCTCTGCTAATAGCAGAAATCCAGCACGATCTTCTTTCTGCTGACAATTCTCTGGCTTCTTTTCCTTGATTTTCAATTATCGAAGGTACTTTGGCAAAATATAATCCTTTATCCCTTTCACTTCTATTTCCACAGCCGACAATAAAGCACAAAACCATCTTCTTTCAAAGGACGCAGTAGATTTGCATGCGATATCTGTACACAAATATGGCGGTGTAGAAACAGTTGTCAGGGTTTTGGTCACGTAAGTGAAAACGATCTAACACCAACCCTTCACACATACTAAGGTGCCCCGGGTAAACTCATCGACTTGACCAGATCGTCGATACTGTCCATCTTAACTTCACTGCTTTCTTGTTATACTTGATAACAACAGAAATACCGGGTACCTTAGTGTGTGTGAAGGGTTAGTGTTAGAAGACTATGGGGAGGACCCGTTGAGAGAGATTTGACTAGGGTCCAGGTTGACCGCGCATTAACGGTCTCTCAGCTGCACAAGATATTCCTTCCACGCACTAGAAGAATTCAGAACGGCCGTTAATTTGAAATTCTCGCTGGATTGGTTGCTCGACAAACCATCCTGTACCGGTTCACAAGGGAATTACCATTGTTCTTTCTTTGTTTAGGAGTCATTGGTTAGCTGTTGTGTATTGTTCGGTCTTTTGTAACGGCTCTTGTGAACCGGTACACGAGGACAGAACCCTTTCGTACGAAATACCAAATCATACTTTACAAGTATTGAACCCAATAAACACCAGTAACAGAAACAGGCTATTTAACGGACGAACTAAGCTTATGTATCTAACCTCACTATTTAAGTTGCTTCTGTCAGTATCCTTATCCATCTCGCTGTTGTTCACGAACATTCTTGATTTTTTCAGCGAAGTATTCGTCTCAGCATCATAGTCTGTTTTTAAATAGGCCTTCACAGTTTTGCCAGTATTTTCGTAGTTTGAACTCACATATGGCTCATTTGTTATCTCGTGAGAACAAGTATGAACTTTCCACATTTAACTTGCTTTCAAGCAATGAAGTTCGCGGGCCGGCCCATTCCGAAAACACTCAACATCATTTAGCGTGGTCCTACCACGAACGGCGTGTGCGTTTGCATGTGGAATGAGCTTATAAGACAGGAATCTTTGCAAAGCAGCCTTCCCAAAACACAGCATTCTGTAAATTACGATGTTTGTAAAGCGCGAGCTCACGATAACACAAGTTCTCGCACTTTCATCCCCAGTTTCCGCGGTTTACGCAAGGAACGCCTGGGACCATGACCCCCCTTTTGGCGACCAAAACGGCTTGCATTTTTAGACTCAGGCTTTCCTACGTAAGCCCGAGTAAAAAACATTTGATTACTCTAAGAGATGATGTACCACTGATGTTCGGCTGAGACCCTCCCTGTTTGTTCTTAATTCGAACAAACATTTTAAAACTGTACATATAAAACTGTTCAAATGGCACAAGCTCGCCCATCAATCGAGCTCATCAGAAAGCTCTGTAACTCCGGCTACATTGCGTTTTTAGACAAAATTGTAGTTCGCTTCCATTCACTATCCTACAGTCTCCCTCGTTTCATTGCATCTGAAGTTAAGATGGCAAGGAGGGTTTTTTTTTTTTTTTTGCACGATTTTTTATTTTAACCCTGGAAATTCTTAGTAACGTCATTTTGATTTCAGTCGATTCTGCTGAAAAGCGAGGGACAACTTAATCACTTTACGAGACTTTGGAAGTTATCAGATATGGGTAAAAATGTTTCGTCAACACAATTTCATAAAAGAAAAGGAAAATCATTCGACAGATGGTAAGACTAGAGTGTTTTATTTGTCACAACATTAATAGAGCGAATTAAGCGAATTTAGGAGAACAAAGAATACAAATCGTATTTTTTTTTTAAAAGATATCTCCAGCCGGATCACTTGAAACAAACCGAGATTGACCATTGCAAAAGATAGCAAACGTTAGAGGTAGGCCCCAAAGGGCTGTCTACCTGTGATTGGACTAAGTGAGGTAAAATTAGGCACAGACTTGAAATCACACTAGTTTCATGTTTTTGTTTTGTTTTTGTTTTTGGTTTTGTTTTTTATCCAAGCTAAAGCTCAATAACTTGTTTATTATAGATTGTTTTCGGGTTTTGCTTCCTGGTCAACATTTAATGGCCACCCAAATCTTAAAAGCTAATCATTTCTGCTGCTTAACTGTTCTTGGCTTAGTTTAGCAATACAATTTGAACTGTTGAAAATCTGACAAGTTAACAGGTACAGTTTAGTCAGTTTTGGGTAAAACAGATTTGTCACATGTGCTTTAAAAATGGTTCAAGATAAAGTAACGAGGATATGATCGACATATTACTGTAATTCCTTTTTTTACGAAGTTATGAAACCAGAAGCATATACCATATAGCAGGTCTCAGATGGAGGAAAGCCGCACACCTTTTTGGGCACAAATGCGCGGCTTATACACCGGTTTTTACATGCTTCTGATTAAAGGACCGTCGCCGTTCACGTTCTCCAGACAACACAAAGTTTGGCCATTTCACTTTGTTTTGCAGAGGACGCAAGGAAATTTACAAAGATTTATGACGCATGTGCAAAGCTATAATTCTGCTCATTAAACCTTTTGTTTTGCGACGTTCCAGTTGCCGTTGTCGCGGTGGTTTTCTTAAACTCCCTGATGACTGGTCCCTAAACGCGATGTAATAACTACACCAACACTGACGTAACAAGGCTGTGTTCAAATCTACCATAACTGATCGATGAGACACCTTAGTGTGGCCTGTTGACAGCGACTCCCAGCAGTTATATAGCCGGAAAGGAAATTTGAAACAAGTGTAACGTGGTTTCCTAAACCTCAGTGAGAGATTGAAAGTTCCCGCCTGGGTCCTACTTGAACACGAATGGCTTCAAATTTTTATGTCTTAAGTCCTTGACCCCCTAAGTATCTAATTTATCATTGCAATGTCAATCCTGAAACACACATGAAGCTAATGAGAATAAAGGAAATGATCACCAACTAAAGAAGCTTTTGATCGTTAAACAAATTCGCCTTGTCAGCACCTAAGGAATCTTATATATAGAAAACAGTATGATGGAGAATATGCATGCTGATGTTAGAGTATACAAGAATAAAGGTTCAATCAAATTTCGAGCGCGAAATATATCCAAAACTTTGTTACATTCTGCTCATTTACTGTCGATAATGTTATCAGTTCTGCTTGGTAAACAAGAAACAAATCAGCGACCATCAGATACATAAACGCAGCTTTTAAACGGAAAGCTTGTAACGTTTGGTGGCCCAAATCGCTTTAGGAGGATGCAAAATTGATGACACGTCACTGCTTCGATTTTATCGACTGGAGACGCACCACTCTGTTTTCCTCTTCTGCGATCTGTGAATTGCTGGTGCTTTGTGAAAAGGTGGAACGTTGGCGCACTGTACCCAGTGAATTAAACTGACCCAGTGTGATCGACCTGAGCAGTTTGCGATACACAGATTGAAATCTCTTGTTACGGAAGGCGAACAGAAAGGGATTGAGCGCCGAATTAAGGTAACCGAGCATGAGTAGAACCATATAAAGTTCAAAGGGATATGGCTCCCATGTATCACCTATGAGATTAGCGACAATGCTGAAGTAGGTGAAAGGCTGCCAGCAGAGAAACATGACAACTACAAACATCGCGGTTGTTTTGGCTGCTTTTATGTTCTTTGTGTACATCTTGCCCTCTTCTTTGGTTGGCTTAAAAGTTGAGGGGAAGCCGCCTGTTTTGGTAACCTTGTGGTGCTTGCGAGCGATGAGGTAAATGAGAATGTAAAACCCACACGTCAGAAGGAGCGGAAAGATGAAATTCATGATAGAAGTAAGAAGATTGTAGACAATGGTATAATGCACCGAGCAAGCACCATTATAAATTGGCTCAACACTTCTATCTCGCCATCCTATGATCGGAAGGAGCGCCCACAAAATGCAGTAAGACCAAATGAGAGCGATTACAATCAGAGATCTTCGTTTAGTTATGAGTTGCGAGCGTCGAAAGCGACCAAGAGGATCCTTGAGTGTCTTGTAGCGATCCACGCTGATAGCCAGAAGCGTGAAAATCGAGGTTGGTACAGTGATGAGGTAAACCGTCAGAAAGGTCACACACATTGTTTTTCCATGTTTCCACTCTCCACTCAGAAAAAGTGCCTCAATGTCAAATGGCACAGCAAGAGTTACGGTGAGAAGATCCGAGACTGCCAAAGACAAAAGAAGGAGGTTTGTTGGGTTGTTACGGAGATTTCTGTTGGCAAGGATAGCGTAAGAGACCATCAGGTTGCCAATGATGGCCACAACCACGATAAGAATACACAAAGAGGCGAGTGGGTAAACGAAATACGGGGAGAAACCGAATAGAGGTTCTTGATGACCGCTGACGTTATGATCGGAATAATTGTTCATCTTGAGTTCGAAAAGCGTTTCCTCGGCCTCTACGACAGTTCTTGAACCTTGAAAGAGAGCCCCTAACGATTGAGAGTGTAAAAATGGAAATGTTCTTAACCTGAACTTTTACGCACACTCACGCCAATGAACGGTTATGATACCAAAACAATCTTTTTATGCATGAATCCGACAGCATTGGCTTGTCGAAGAGGCAAATATATATGTCATATTAGCTTTTGGGTCTGAGTGGGTTTGAGAGCGGTAAGAATTGGGTGCCTTTATCCTCATTAATATCTCTGGCATATTTTGAGTTACAGTTGTTTTTCTCCTACTGAAGTTCAATATTCTCTTTAGATATAGTGATTGGCATTTGAAATTAACATAACTCTTCTCTGGGTGTTTAGAAATAGAACTTCAGGAAACTTGGACGAACATTTTTGACAGAAAAAATTAATTGATTAAGAATAGTTCTTAAGAGCTCTGACAAGTAATTACCCGCAAAAGATTAAACCTTTTTAAGACTATGCATGATATTTCCTGTTAAAATTTACCACAGAAAAAACACTTTGTAAACGTTGTTTACGAGAAACTAAACGTGGAATATATTACCACCAGCCTTAATGCGAGAGAAAGGTTTCGAGTTCGGTGACTTACGTCATGGCAAGGACGACAGGATGCAAGCGCAGTAATATCGCAAGAACAAAATCTTGATTACAAAGCGAATTAGTACAAAGCCGGGGTCAAGTAACGACAGCCATAAACTGTTAAGTACTCTCGAAGAGACTTGCCCGAGTTTGTGCTTTATGAACAGCAATTGCACGAAAGCAATTTCACGAGATTATTCAGGGAGTAGTCTCGACGTTTCTTGGCTATATTCGACTTTAAAACAACTTATGAGTTACAATATTTCGTTCAAGTATTTTTCAAGTAAGAAAGGCAGAAATAAGTGATCTCACTCGGGGATGTTGTCTTTTTCCTACTTTGCTTCAGAATTCATTATATATCGTGTGCAAGAGAAGGATTGAAACTGTACGCAAGTTATATGCTCACCAGTTGGCTTTTCAGTCATTGCTGTAGCTTATTTAGCCAAAACCTTCACGGATGCACCTTCAAGATTCGGTTAAACTTGAAATAACCCCTCAAGAAAAGGGTTAAGTTGTGAAAATAGTGGCGTATTACTTGTGCAGTTCTTCTAGAAACGACAATTGTGTCGCTTTGTTTTCCCTGATGGGGCTAAGAGCTCAATTCGTTGTCAAGGTAAACTTTCTCAGTATTCATCTGATCGAGTGTTCGGTACCTTAAACGCATTCCACATCAATAAGCACTTGATATTGGCCGAGTTTAAATTATAATCCGATGCTGCTCTGACTTTGCACAAGATGGGATGAATCACTCTTGTTGGCCGACATCGTTTGTGTGTTAGAACCACCATCGAAGTCTCACTTAAACTATATAACCTTCTCCAACTTTCTTAAGAAAGATGCAGTCAAGGTGAATTTTTTTCAAAAGGAATACTAATAAAACAAGCACGATCAAGCTAATATCAATTTCTACTCGTTTACAAACAACTGCCTGATGGATGAATATCACTGCAGTCGAGGAAGTCGGTTTGTAAACTGATTCGCACTTCCTTGCGGGGATATCTTGTATCTGATTAAAATCATTGATGTCTTCAACCTTTTTTTTTTTGAAGTAGTAATGTAAATTGGCCACCTTAAAGAGTTTGTGAAGCTGACCTTTTGAGCGTTAACTCTTCATAAGAGCGAATAACAAAGGGCTAACGTTTGATACATCAGCTTCAGAAACTCTAAAGGTGGCCAATTAACATTATCAAATCAGATGATAAAACTAAAGCATCCTGTAATACCCCCACCGACGTAGCATCACAGACTTTTTTAGAGACTTACCCCCTTTATTTCCATTTGAAAGGCAGGATGTTTTGTTGATTTGTTTGTTACTGAAGTGACGAAGGAGATAATTTTTTTTTATTTTGGCGTCTTCTATATTCTTGTGTTCTAATAATTAATGTGGGATGCCGATTACAGAGAATTCTCCTAAAAAATGATATGTATGGCCAACCACATAGCTTAAAGGAGTAAAGTTCGACCATGAAGCAGCTTAAAAAGGAACCTCAAAAGATCCGCCTGTATCGGCCGACCTTTTTGTAGATTGCTACCTGTATTTGACTCTTATGTTCCGAAAATATTACATTTGGTGAATATAGCAGGTAAACTCGTTTGTTCTCCTCGAAGTAAAATAGGACGATGTTTCCATAACACCTCTTTTATTAGTAACAATGATGGCAAGGGTTTCTTTTATCGATTTATTCACCTTTTTATTTTTCGAGACGCAAGAAAAACGCCCACTTATTACCAAAACAGATTTTTCGAATCATGGAAGTTCGGGAAGTCGAAATTAGAGAAAATAAAATACTATCAACCATAGCAACAATTTATAAGTTGAAATGTGGCTTATCTAGCTTACCTAGGGAGAGTTCTACTCCCCGCCTCTCCCGGTAAAACTGAGAATTATGGTTCTTCTTCATATGTTTAATCTCCTATAATTTAGCCTAAAAACCTTCGCAGTCGCTTTTAAATCAAGATAAACCTCAATTTACCCAAGGGATCTCACAACAGAGTAGCGGAAATATATGTACAACCACAGGGGGCCCGTACAATCTGTTTGAGTAGCCGACGGTTGGTTTATAGTGAATGTACCAGTCGGCTACACAAACAGATTGTATGGGCAAAACAGATTGTATGGGCTCCCTGTGGTACAACAAGGCTCTTATGGGCAAATATATCCAAATTACCAGAATTTACTGTTAGCCTCAACTATAGTGATTGCTGACTATGTACATAAATCATTGATAAATAAACGTTGAATTACTTTACCTGTGGTGTATAGTCGTCCTTTCCTTCAAAAATGTTTTTTTTTTGAGCGATTTTGAATAAGTCTGAGTTCGTCGTTAATGTAATGCATTGAAAGAAAGACAAGGGTGGAAGGCTTGTTTTGAAAGGGTTCAAGCGCCCGAGCGATTTTCCCCCCCGAAAATCGCATCGCTCCGCTTTCAAACTTCGCAGCATTAAGGTCAAAAGATGCACGATTCTCCTCGTACCTTCCAATCCAAAATCCATCCAAACGGCCGGGAGCTAGCCCTCGAAGAAAATCAAAATCCCACAGTATTTGAGCGCCTGGGATGCGTAGCAAGATTCTCATGTGCCAGCCAAAAATCCCACGCAAATACTGTGGGATTTTGATTTTCTTCGAGGGCCAGCTCCCGGTCCGTTTGGATGGATTTTCGATTGGAAGGTACGAGGGGAATCGTGCATCTTTTGACCTTAATGCTGCGAAGTTTGAAAGCGGAGCGATGCGATTTTCGGGAGGAAATTTGCTCGGGCGCTTGAACCCTTTCAAAACAAGGCTTCCACCCTTGTCTTTCTTTTATACATTACATTAACGAAGAACTCAGACTTATTTAAAATCGCTCGAAAAGAAAGAAAATTTTGAGGCAAAAGGACGACTATACACCACAGGTAAAGTGATTCAACGTTTATTTATCAATGATTTATGTACATAGTCAGCATTATATCACTATAGGTGAGGCAAACGGTAAATCTGGTACATTCACTATAAAGCAACAGTCGGCTACACAAACAGATTGTATGGGCCCCCCTATGGTACAACAAGGCTCTTATGAGCCAAGCGTAGGTTTTCTATAGTCGAATGTGCGCTAAGAGTATGGTGTTCTGACCTTAATTCTGCGATGCCTTAACAAAATCGCCAACATACTTAAATAATAAGATTAATTCCGAATACTTCTGTCAAACTGCGATAGAAATTAAGGAGTATTCAAGTGTTTCGGTCCCGTATACTTTGTATATCTATAAATAACCCCATTCCTATTGTCAAGTTTTATATTGATTTTTAGGATTGAGTTTTGTAAACGTGAAAACGGTTTTTTCCATGATAAGACAGCTAAAAAAGGTACACGAGAATTCTACGCATTTGCCAAGTACCGGAGAAACTTTATCATGTTTACACGTGTGGGCTCATAAAATCCCCTGAAATGTGTTCGACAAATAACCACGGAATTACATCCCCCGGTTGGCATTATTTATATAGGATTGCGGTGTGTTCAAGGACTCGGTGTGGTCATGGAAACGAGCAAAAAAGCACTAAACGATTTATTGACCTTTCACGAATTTCTGACATAAATCAACTAACTAAATGACCAACAGATGTAACCTCAGCTACATCGAAAACTGACTCCCTAAGGACGATAGGTAGACCATGCGATGGCGAACTAAGAAACTGATGGCTCGGAGCAAATATCAACTAATGTTGACTAAAATTTGTACGATAATTTTAGAGCCTCTCCCTTTTTCCTGACTTGTTCTCAGGCAAGAGGAGATATCTAAGCAACAACAACTGTTTACCTCTCAAGATATTTAACAATCAGATTATCACGGGGTCGTGATGAGGTCGCGATGACATGACAGTTTATGATGGGCGAAACACGAATCAACAATATTGTGGAAATCGAGAGCGTTTAATCTAATCGCTTTAATACAAATCTGGCAGCCGTCAAAGCTGAACACCAAGTTAGGCGAATGTTTCTCATTGGAATCTCGTAGGACCGCGTGCCATTTAGCATCCCATTTTACTCACCATATTTCACGGGATAGGTAACGAGTAGTGTAGCTAATCAGACTGCGGCTTCATATTGTTAAATTTTTGTTGTAGTGATTATAGTGAAGCTCGGGAAAAGGTACCTAAGCTATCTCTGTCTACATGGTCGAGGAAGCAGGCCTTTTTTTTTTTTTTTTGAGGTGACCCGCCATTCCGATCTCGTCTCAGTGAAAGTTACATTGTGATGCAAGAGTGAAAGAAGGACTAGCTCTCTCAAACAGGTAATTTTTAGTAATGTTTGTAATTTATATGAAAATTGCAGAAATAGATATTTTTGTTAATTCACGAGTTCCTCAGTATGTCCCACGTACCAACCATCACTACCTAAACTTAAACAAATGCTCACGAATTCGAAATATGGCAATAAATAGAACAACGACCACCGCTGAGCAACACCTATAAAGATCCGCTCGTCATTTCGTGCAATAGAGAGGTATGTCCCACGTACCAACCATCACTGCCTAAACGTAAACAAATATGCACGAAATATAGCAATAAATAGAACAACGACCACTGCTGGGCAACACCTATAAAGATCCGCTCGTCATTTCGTGCAAAAGAATATTGTTCAAAGGTATACTAGTAAGAACCAAACTATGAAAAGGGCTAAAACGCGCACTGGAGAGTCGGGCTGGCAACTATCAAGCCCATTTTCGAAGGTAAATGCTGCAGTGACAAAAGTATCTTAATGAAGTCATTTTCATAGCCTCTTTGTTTTGAGTTTGGTCAGTCACGCCTTGCTCTCTGACTTTTATATAGAACCCCACGAAAATGCTTTTCGAGCGCACTGATTACTTAGCTCAAAGGACACTGGTGAAGGGCCAGTCATTATTATTGCCTGTAGATAGATAGATAAATCGTTAGATAGATAAATCGTTTATTAAAAAAAACACCTCGCAGTCCGAAGACTGAATTACGTGTGTAATATACAAGAAACAAAATTCATAGTTAAAATAGTTTGAAAATCTTAATAATAAAAATATACAAATCTAATAAAAACGTTTCACTTAGGATAATCTTGTGTTAAGAAAATATACATTCTTAAACATATATATTTACATCCTCAGGCTATGGCTAACAACAAAATATTTTCTAAGACGATCAGTCAAGCACACTGGCACGATAAACTTCCTATTGCTGCGCAGCTGCCTGTGGTGCTCAGCTTTAGGTGGGAGCAGACCTTCGAGCTTGTGATTAATGTCAAGAAGAATGTCGTTAAAGAGATCAAACGATAGAGATGCTCTCCTGTCGTAGAGAGAGGAGATGCCTGCCTCTTTGAGCGCGCTGTTGTAGCTTGCATGAGGAAAGATAATGCGCAAGGCGCGCTTCTGAATACGTTCCAGCTCTTCGGATAAATAGAACGGAAGGCTGGAGTGAAATACTTGACATGCGTATTCTAAAACCGATCTTATGGTACTACAGTAAAATAAAACAAGATCACTCGCACAGATACCAGCACGTTTGAGTTGACTCAGGAGGTACAATCTTTTGGCAGCCTTTGAGGTTACATTAAAGATGTGATCGTTCCATTTGAAATCATCTCTTATGGTAACGCCGAGCACTTTACCCCAGTTAACTGTCACGAAAGCTAGGCAATCGAGTTCAACTGGAGAATGAATTGGAGGAGATCTCTTAAATCATGACTGCAGCTCCTTACATTTAGATAGATTCAGCTGCAGGCGGTTCTCCTGAGACCAGGTGCTAATAAAGTCGACAGCTTGCAGAAGTACGCTTTGTTTGGATGGTAGTACTATTTCCGAAACAGTAGTGTCGTCGGCGAATTTCCACAAAGCAAACGACCCATCAGGTAGCCTAAGATCGTTTATCAGCACCAAGAATAACCAAGGGCCAAGACGAGTCCCCTGGGGAACACCCCTGTGGCGGGGGATGGGAAGGGGGAGGGGCTGGTGGAGGACTTTTGGGGATCAAATGCTTTTCAGGGGGAACAGAGGGAGGATCTTCCGTCGCCAATAGAGGAGAAGGGACAAAAGAAAATTGACCGACAATTAACTACCAATGAGAGAGGGGTGGGGGAGATCATAAGAATATTTTAAAGAGGGGGGGAACAGGTAGATTCAAAGATCCTCCAACTTCCGCCAGACTATAAATAAAGATTGGTTTCTTAGTGGAGTTGACTGGAAAGCAGGTTTTCTCACCGAATTAGGGAGATCGGACTGCATATCGACAGTTGCATAAAACAGTTCAGTGAAATACATGTTTAACCAAAGCATTGCATGCTCTTGAAGGCGAATTCGAAGTTGTGAGTTTTTGTCTCAGAATAACAACAGTTACTATAGGCAAAAGCATTTTATTTTCTCTGTCATGAAAATAAGTGAATCACGCAGTGCCTATTTTGAAATTATTGCCTCATTATTAAAATCACCTTGCTCTGGGTGACTATCGCAAGATATGAAGTAATCCTCGACCAATTAGAGCGCGTCCATCTCTATAATCACCGATAATAGGCAATCAAATCAGGTAAACGCCCTCTAACTGCTAAATTTGTCACTTCTCTTCAATTTTTTGCTAGATAAGGTATATAGATGTCAAAGAGAATATTTATGCTAATCAGCAGTTCTGAAAGCTAAGTGTTAACGGACGTGATTGCACTGCTTGAAGTATAATACCTCCCTCCATTGAACATGGAATCTCTGAAACGAGAGTCATCTCCGATATGGAGGAGATTCGCCGAGAATCGGGCCTGGGTTTTGGCTTGAGCACCTTAACTGAACGCAGCATCTTAGAGTATATGACTTTGAAGCTTTTGCTTCGAAACGCGAATAGAAAAGGGTTCAAAGCCGAGCTCAGGTAACCCAACATTAACAGAAAAGGATAGGCTTTCGGTGGTATGTGTAGCAAACAGTTTTCACATACGCAGTTAATTATGGTATATATGGAGTAAGGGACCCAGCAGAAAAATGAGACCCCTACAAACATAGATATAGTTTTCGCTGCTTTAAGGTTCCCTATATAATTATTCGTCTCTTGAGTGAAAGTCAGTTTGCCACACTCGCATCTGCGAGCGGTGGTTACGTTTTTATTTCGCGCACTCGCAATGCGATAAATCTTGATATAAATTCCGCAAGTTATTAGCAAGGGCAACAAAAAGTTAAAGAAACTTGTCACGGTTGTATAAATGCTTCTGTATGGGAACCAACATATTTTGTCATAGGCGACGGATTCGCGATGAAAATCTTCCCAGCCAAAGTAAGCGGGAATTGAAGCAAACAGAACGGTATAAAACCATATCAAACAGTTGATCATCATAGCCTTTTTTCGCGTCATGAACCTTGTTTTTCGAAACCGGTTTAACGGGTCAGTGAGGTGGTTGTAGCGGTCCCTACTGAGAACAAGAAGGGTCAAAATCGATGCTGGTACAGCGATGTAAAAAACAGTACTCCATAACCTGCACATAGTTGTACCATGTATCCAGATTCCTCGAAGGAAAAATTCTTCTGTTTGTAGTGGAGTGACAATTGTCACGGTGAGTAGATCAGAGAACGCCAGTGAGAATAGAAGGATTGTTGTGGGATTGCTTCGAAGGTTTTTGTCGACCAGGATCGCAAAGCAAACCATGATGTTCCCAATTACTGCCACCACTACAATGATTATATAAACGGTCAATACAGGAATCTTGAAGGCAGCTGTAAATGAATAGCTCAATTCCTCACCGTCAACACTTGGATGTGATCCAGAAGAGTTGTCCATCTTCTGAATTTAGTATATCTTTGATTTTTCTCCTCGCTGAGAGCTGTCTTTCCGGCTTCTTTGTCGAAATTGAAGTTCTATGCGTCGTCAAATTGTCACCATATTCGCTGAAGTTTCAGAGAGAATCAAGTTGTTTTGTAAGTCTGCCTTCGGAATCAATTCCCATGAAAAATCAATACTTATCAGATTCGATACATGATGAGGAGCATAATAAGATGACAGCGTTAAAACCATCCAAGATTATTAGCTGGTTACAAAGTTGACCCTAAAGTACCCAACTTTTGTTTCCTTCATGGAGGTACCTCAGCGGCGCGTTTTAAACTCACATAAAAATGTGGTATGTTTGGGAGTTTGAAGGTTTGAATGACAGATCCTTTCCATAATCAAAATATTATGGATGTTATATTGATATTCTAGTTTCATTTTCTGAACTAATACAGATTTCCGCCCAGAGAATATAGAAAATGAAATACCGAGTGTCTACGTGTGATTGAAATTTCAGAGATCGCTTAAATACTTAAGGAAGAGCATAATTCGATTTTGCTCTTTCAAACCAGTCCAGAGCTTAGTAATCAAGCTTTAACTAAGCTTGGAAAAAATATTGATGCACAAGTTTAATTAGATTTCCGAAACAATGCAGCATACTGACCCCGTTTTAAGTGATATTAGTGATATTGTCACGTACACGTTTTACTAGAGTCTGTGCTCAGATAAAAGGAGAAAAAAAAATGTATTTACCCTCAATAGCGATTAAAGAGGCGAACGAGAGATGTTGTGCGAACGAAGTAAAGCTATAAATCAGCGGAGAGAGCTGGTGATTGATAAACTGACTGTTGCGTGTCACGAATATCGTTCAAGAAAACAAAATAAAAAATCAAGATTTACAGAGGCCTTATTTATGCTAATCTGCAAATGAAGCTTCACGAATATTGTCTTGAAGGCCCAATCTCTGATCTCCCTCGATAATTTGACTAAACAACGGCTCTACCGTGTGACAATCTTGCCAAAGCGGCGTTCGCCTCAAATTTTACGTTTCATTGTAAGTGTCGCTTTCGTAAACGGTCAATGTCATCCGTTAAAAAGATATGTATTTGTATACAAATGTTTGGTCTGTTTAACAATATGAACGCTGTCGTTGTTATTATTATTACTATTATTATTATTATTATTACTATTATTATTATTATTATCATCATCACTATGGTTACCATCATCAGGTTTTATTATTATTATTATCATTATAATTATCATTACTGTCCTAATTAAGTACAGAATGTCAAAACTATGATGACTCCGAAGCCTGATTAATCATTTCCATTACCAAGCCTCTCTCCCGTAGGCAACCATGCTGGTCGTTTGCAAAAAGCAATACGCATTAAAGTCAAACAATTAACAGACTCTCCCGGATCTTTTAAGGTAAATTTAGACTTCACCTACACATCGTTCTCTTCGCAGTCACCCTGCGTTCTCTCGCTGTTCTTCTCCTTTTTTTTTGGCTGCTTTTCCCGATGATCTACTACGTCCTTTGCCTAACTAGTAAGTTGGTTATATGAACTAAGTTGAAATTGTAAATTGTCCACCGTAAAGAGTTAAAAACACATTCATAGTTGATATAACCAAATTACCTTGTTACCCCCACCGACGCAGCACCACAGTTTCTTTAGAAACTTATTCTCTTTATTCCTTTGCCTATCGGTTTGGTTACCAATACTAACTTCGTCGAAGAAAGATATTTCGTCTACCTAGGTTACCGTACCTGACCCAGGCCGAAGTATCAGAGCTGTTTCGCCATCAGCCAGCTCTTGACCCCAGGGCAGTTGTCGATTGTCAATTGTCAATTATACGGTCTTTCTTTAATTATTTTTTGTAATTGATCAGCGAGTCAAAAAGTTAGGTCGTTCTAGCTGATTAGCGTAGAGCCGGAATAGGATATCTTTGTTCAACTGAAGATCAAAATGAAAGGAGCGAGACAAGGCAAGAATCAAAATGTCAGATCAGATGTTTTCAGGTAGAAAAAATCAACAACGACAGTTACACTTGAGAGGGTGCTAAAGGTTAACAGGAGATTAAACTCTTTCATTTAGTCTCGGTTGTGTTTTAATAAAGAAGTGAACAAAGATAAATTTGTCCTTACTGAGTCAACTCATATTTCATCGGAATGAGATGGGAAGAAACTTAGAAATCTATCAGCTTGGGGATGTCGTTGACTTTAACAACTAGCCTGCAAACAGGCCTTTGCAATTGCCGCTTCGCGATAAACGTTTCTCTGTCCGCGACGAAGTTTAAGACATAGAACAAAGATCGGGGTCTGGCTGACTGACTGATAGCTGTTAGGTTTCTGGCACTAATATTCAGTGCCAGGTCCCTAGCAGACCTCGTGCCTACTCGATTTTCTCAAGCTTAAGGCCTCAAACGTTTTGACGCGCCAAAGGAACTTACCTGCCTTACGGCTAATATGTGACGGCCTGCTCGCAAGATATTTTACAACAAATTCTCAGAGGCGAAATAACAGGAAATTTATGGCAAACAATAAGGAGAATATATATCTAAATCTTGTTACTAGGGTTAAACAACAACAGCTACACTTGTCGCTCATTGCCATTCAAATCTTATTAGAAGTTTTATTGTGTAGTATCGCTGAGTATTTTTTACGAGTTCTGCCGTATTTTGACGAGCCCGTAGGGCGAGTAAAAATACTCAGCGATGCTACACAACAAAACGTCTAATAAGAGATTTATTATCCAGTACGCCAAATTAATCTGCATTTTTTTCATCATCATCTGCTTTTCCACTCAGACAACGAGTTCCTCAAGGAAGTTGTTTCGGGCCTCTCCTGCTTACGGTTTACACCAATAAGCTACTTGATATCGTCAGCAAGCACCTCCCAAGTGTACACTGCTACGCAGATGATACACAGCTGTATTTGGCATGTAGTCCTGCTGTGTAAGGGGAGGACGAGGCCGCGCTAAATGCTACGCGCGACTGCACACGTGACTTGACGAACTGGATAATTGAAGACCCGACTGACGTGAAATGATGATAAGACTGAACTAATGCTTATAGGTACTAGGCAACAGTTAGAGAAAGTCAACTTGAATGATATTAATGTAGGTGACACAGTCGTAGAGGTGAAATCAGACTGAACTAATGCTTGTGGGTACTAGGCAACAGTTAGAGAAAGTCAACTGGAATGATATTACTGTAGGTGACACAGTCGTAGAGGCGAAATCAGACTGAACTAATGCTTATAGGTACTAGGCAACAGTTAGAGAAAGTCAACTTGAATGATATTACTGTAGGTGACACAGTCCAAGAGGTGAAATCAGACTGAACTAATCCTTATAGGTACTAGGCAACAGTTAGAGAAAGTCAACTTGAATGATATTACTGTAGGTGACACAGTCGTAGAGGTGAAATCACACTGAACTACTGCTTATAGGTACTAGGCAACAGTTAGAGAAAGTCAACTTGAATGATATTACTGTAGGTGACACAGTCGTAGAGGTGAAATCAGACTGAACTAATGCTTATAGGTACTAGGCAACAGTTAGAGAAAGTCAACTTGAATGATATTACTGTAGGTGACACAGTCGTAGAGGTGAAATCAGACTGAACTAATGCTTATAGGTACTAGGCAACAGTTAGAGAAAGTCAACTTGAATGATATTACTGTAGGTGACACAGTCGTAGAGGTGAAATCACACTGAACTAATGCTTATAGCTAATAGGCAACAGTTAGAGGAAGTCAACTTGAATGATATTACTGTAGGTGACACAGTCGTAGAGGCGAAATCAGTTGTGCGAAATTTTGGGTCATGGTTTGATCGTAATCTGGATAGGTCATTCCACGTAAGTAAACAATGCGCCTCGGCATTGTATCATTTACATAATATAAGTCGAATCCGTAGGTTATTAAGTACAGATACCACTAAAGCCCTCGTTCATGAGGTTGTTATCTCGCTCGTAGATTGTTGCAATAGTCTTTTATATGACTTGCCAGCTTCTCACCTGAATAAGATTCAGCGCGTTTTAAATGCCACAGCAAGACTAGTTTTCGCTATTGCATAAATGGCGCTATCTACTGCGAAGGATCGTGCATCATACGTATTTAATACCGCAGTTCAAAATATATGAACTTCATATATTCATTGCATCTGCTTTATCATCACGGGTTTATTACGAATCAACTAAACGGCCTGCTCCCAGTTGGCTTGTTAGCTCAATTGGTAGAGCGCTGCACTAGTATCGCAGAGGTCAGTGGTTCGAATCCCGTACAGGCCTGATTTTTTTCGGGTTTGATTTTCGCTATTGCATAAATAGCGCTATCTACTGCGAAGGATCGTGCATCATACGTATTTAATACCGCTGTTCAAAATATATGAACTTTGTATATTCATTGCATCTGATTTATCATCACGGGTTTATTACGAATCAACTTAACGGCCTGCTCCCAGTTGGCTTGTTAGCTCAATTGGTAGAGCGCTGCACTAGCATCGCAGAGGTCAGTGGTTCGAATCCCGTACAGGCCTGATTTTTTTGGGGTCTGATTTTCGCTATTGCATAAATAGCGCTATCTACTGCGAAGGATCGTGCATCATACGTATTTAATACCGCAGTTCAAAATATATGAACTTCATATATTCATTCAACCAAGACTAGTTCGTCGCGCGCCACGCTACTGTCGCACAACGCCGTTGCTATACGAGGTGCACTGGCTATCGGTTAGGCAACGCATTAGTTTTAAAATTCTGCTATTTGTTTTCAAGGCCATCCATGGAATTGCGCCAACGTATTTAAGAGAACTTGTGTCAATTAAAAGACTAGGAATTTATAAATTAAGATCCTCCTTAGATGGTTTATTGTTTGCAACTCCAACTTATAGAAGTAGGGTTACATTTGGAGGCAGATCATTCCAGGTCGCAGCTCCGGCACTTTGGAATGCATTCCGCGTGAGATTCGTTCTGTTACAGACCTAGAGAATTTTAAGTACCACCTGAAAACGCACCTCTTTAAGGAAGCTTTTTATTAATTTTTATTCTATTTTAACATGATAGTTGCTAGTATCTTAACATATGTTGTAGGCTTTAATTTTATCATAGTATATTTTTGATAACTATTATTGAGATGTAATGCGCGCTTGATCATTATTTCATGGGAAGCGCGCAATATAAGAATCAAATTATTATCATTATTATTATTATTATCAATAAAGATTTGGAAATGCAAAGACAAGCAAAAAACCAACGATAAAAACCGACGTTTCGGTGTCATCATGACGATATTGTCAAGGAGAAGTAAAAATTACAAAGTTATGGGGCAAGGTGTAACTCTAAATTAGCATAAATATGTTAGGAGCTAATTATACAAATACTTTTGCGCGAATTGAATCGCTTTGCACGTTCAGAGTGGGTTTTAGGTCTCTGATGAAAAGCATTTCGTTCACCAAACAATCGAACTTGTTACTACACTTTTTCAGAATGCTACTGAAACGTTTTAGCCGCCTCCTGGTTAGCTCAATTGGTAGAACGCTGGACTGTTGTGCGGGAGGTCGTGAGTTCAAATCCGGCCGGACCAACACTCAGGGTCTTAAATTACCTGAGAAGAAAGTGCTGCCTTTGTAATAATATCTAAAAATGGTTAGACTTTCTAGTCTGCTCGAATAGTGACGATAAATGGAGGTCCCGTCTCCTGCAGGGTTGGGGTAGGAGACGTTAATTTCCCACACACGAGATTACTGTGTGATGGATGTCCTCCCTGGGGTATGATGGGTGGGTAAAAGAGAGGTTAGGTGTCAATTGGAACGAAAGTTCTGTTCCTTTCTCCTGCCAATCCTATGGCGAATGAATCAATCTTAACTTAAACTGAAGTTAAACTCTGAACGTGCAAAGCGATTCAATTCGCAAAAGTATTTGTATAATTAGCTCCTAACATATTTATGCTAATTTAGTGTTACACCTTGCCGCAAACTTTGTAATTTTTACTTCTCCTTGACAATGGCGTCATGATGACACCGAAACGTCGGTTTTTATCGTTGGTTTTTGCTTGTCTTTTTTTTATTATTATTATTATTATTATTATTATTATTAAATTGTCTCATGTATTCTACAAAGCACAGTTGGATAATAAAAGGGCAGAACACCTTTACCTAAAATCTCTTCTTTCTTAACTTTCTTCTTATCTTTGTTTATTCCAAAGACTTGTAGCCTGATGATAAACAGTTATGATACAATATGCAGTATATGGCTGCGATGATAGAACAATATTTTTTTTACGGTTAATTAAGTACAGATCAAAACTCGTTCAAACAAATCAGTCTGAGTCTTGAATATCGATATAACTGTATGTACTACAACAAATGCACGTGATACTCTAAGCTAGCTACATCGTTAACTTCACAACGCCTAACACACAAGACGTCTTTGTCTACAGGCCCTCTAAAAATAGAATTTGTTCAGAAAATTCAATGATCATTTCTCTTCAGTCTTGGTTAAAATCGCCTCATTGAATTGGCCATCTAAACTTAATTCATGTTATTGATTCGGAGCAATTGAAGCCAAGTTTCACTGTGAACTATATACACACACTACGTTTAAGTTACAACTGTAGCCGATGAAGCATTCTTAATGTTATTGCTCGCTGCATGTTGAGCGTGATTTTGATTAAAGCATCTTCTTACCATAATGGTATTAACTATTTTAATCGGGCTAAAAATACAGATGTATTGTTTTAGTCCTGATTCTTTTTCCGCTTTGAGCTAATTATTGCAACCGGTATCCAATTTTTTTCTCACCTACTCGTTCCAACTTTCATTACTCCCTAATTATGGAAATTAGAATGAAATGAGTTAAGAGCTAATTTGGTTTTATCAACCAAGTTGATAATGTAAATTTACCCCCGGTTGAGTTTCTTAGGCGAAGGGCTAACGCTCGAAGCTTCAGCTATAGCAACTTTTTACTCTCCAATTTACGTTATCAACTCAGTTGATAAAATAAAACTATCTTGTAATACCCCATCGACGAAGCACCAAAGTTTCTCCAGGAACTTTCCCCTTAATGAATTGGGCTGTTGCTCAAGGTTATATGACAGCTCTGCGGCAAACAATACCAACTTTCTGTTATTTCAAAGTATATTTAGTGCTCATCGCTCGGTATATGGCTTTGTTGATTTCCTTTAACCTGATAATAAACTTCGAACTTAAGCATTTATCACAATGCGGTTTTAATTCGGGAAATCCTGCGCTGTTTCTTTCTAAATACGTTATGACCGCCTCAAAAGCGCCCATTCTAAGAGAAATCCAATTTTTAATGCGGGGCCTCTCAAACTGTTTCAGCAGTCACAGCTAAGCCGCATCCTTTGCAAAGAAAGGCGAAATTTTTTTTGCGCGCTTTCCAGGCTCGGAGTAACCTTTTAGAACACTTCTTGAGTGTATGATATATACATTCAATCAAAGCCAATTAACTCAAGAAACCAGAAAAATACCCTCTACTTACCACTTCTTCTATCAAGAGTATGTGTTAAAAGTTTCCGTCAGTTTTTCGATGAGAATAATACATTTTGTAAGCTGCATAAAAATATTCAAAGCTTGGGTTGTATTTGTCCTTTAGGTCACTCTCGCCTCGGTCTCATCGATAGGAGACGAACATCATTATCTTGCGAGTCTATAACATCGGAGCCGATGGTGCTTTGGGTCAGTGTCGAGCGCCTAATTTTGCTTTCGGGCTTAGAGCGAACTTTCAGTGATTTAATCATCAGCGAGTAGGTGGCCTTAAATCTACGATTACGAAAGGCAAAAAGGAACGGGTTGAGCGCAGAGTTTAGGTACCCAAACATTAACAAAAGAATGCGAGCTTCATAGGGGATACTACCCTCGCACGACTCGCCACATATGTACGCGATAATGCTGACGGAGGAAAATGGTACCCAACAACAAAAAAAAGCCCCCACAAAAATAGATATTGTCTTAGCTGCTCTTACGTTTCTGGAATACATCTTTTTTTCTTCGGTGGTACGCAATTTTCGGCTGTTGTCTCCTTCAACGTTGTGGTGGTGAGAGGAAGCGATCATATAAATCTTGATGTAGATGGCGCATGTTATCAGTAGTGGCAAAATGAAATTCAGAACAGAGGTAAGGATGAAATAAGGCGAAGGGAAAGGAAAATAACATGTGTTATCCTGGACAAAATTGTTCTCTGTTCGCCAGCCCATGACAGGAACCAAAGCGAACAAGAAACTGTACAGCCAGATCATAAAGCTGATAAAGAATGCTCTTTTCCTTGTCATGAATCTGCAACGGCGAAATCGATTTAGAGGATCACTGAGGCTTTTGTATCGATCCACGCTTACGGCCAACAGGGTCAAAATTGAGGTTGGTACGGTGATGAGGTACATTGTTATCCATGCTCTGCACATCATTTCCCCATGATTCCAGACCCACTGAAGATAGATCCCTTCTATATCGAATGGCACAACCAGTGTGACAGTTAAGAGATCTGACAACGCCAGCGAGAAAATAAAGAGGTTCGTCGGATTGATGCGCAAGTTTCTGTTAGCGAGTATGGCGTAACAAACCAGAAAATTTCCCACGGCAGCGACTGCAACTATAAATATATGACACAACGTTACTGGATATACGAATCCTGGCATGAAATCGAAACTGGGAATTTCCTCGTCGCTTGAGTTGAGTTTGTGATATGCGGACGAGTTTTTCATTGTGCAGCTTGCGGAGAAATTTAGAGAAGGATCAAGACAGAATTTCCTTTGTTTGTTGAGCAATACGATGTGAGTGTCCTCATCTCGCTGTTTCCTCAGCCAAAATGAATAGTTTTTGCAACACTCAGTCCATTTAGAAGGTCGTGTTTTGAGTCACTTGATGTCAAAAACAAGGCGCCTTTTTTCTAAGTGCCGGAAAGTTACCAAGACTTGTCAAGACTGATCATAAATGACAGATATTCTCCGCCTTAATTATACCTAAAACGGAAAAATATGAAGCACTTTGTTATTAAAGTCGGCATCAACAAGAGAAAGTTCATAGAATATGTTTATTTTAGTTCTTCATAAGGAGTCGGCGGGTTGGCTTAAGTTCCGCATAATCAGCTCTAGAGGAAGCTTTGTGAATCGTAATCGAAAATGCTAACAGGTTTCACTCAAAGCATACAAGTAAGCGTGAACTATCAGTTTATAACTAGTACATAAAAAATATTTTCAAAAATTACATTAAAGAGGTGCATTTAAAGGTCTAAAACAACAAAAAGCTGTTAGAAAAGACAAGTATTGAGACTGCGGTGCCATCTTTCTCAAGCTGAAGAGTCGATTAATTCATGTTTCTGGGTTCATCAGCGAGGATGTTTAGTGCTGGAAAGGATAAGGTTTCAGACTTGTAAAACCGTGTCCCTCCTCCCCCCCCCCAKAAAAAAAAAAAGAAATCGCAAACACAAACACACCCCCCCTCCCCATAACTACGGCTTGAGGGCTCGGGGCATTATTTTATATAGCAATTTGGCGAGAGCGTAATGAATACCAGCGTTAGAGCCAATCCTCTGTCGTGTCCTGACATCAGATAAATGTCTTATCAGTTGTTCAATGGCATCTTCGACTTATCAGGAAACAAAAAAGCAAATTAAAACTTCTGGCGATATTTTTGCTCTTAGAAGAAACCTCTCAAAATATCAAAATAGTTGATTGGTAAGTATCCCATATCTTACTCTGAGAATCGTTGCGCAAAGTTGTCCTATATCGACTTACTTCAACCACGAATGAACTAAAACATTTATAAACACTCCAGGAAGCAACGCATTCGGATCTTATGGAAAGGAGGCCAAATAAGGAGAGGTGTCTTAAGGAAAAATTTAGCTTTCTAAAAATCGTAATATACCGATGTTAAAATTTGGGAGTAAGGATTGGACAGGAGTGTCTGACAATATTCTTTGGTGCCATTTTATAGCAACTAAAACAAATTTTGAAGGTCCATTCTCTTCGAATAACTTTCGCCAATTCTCCCCTGGAGTCAAGGCGTTCAAAGCTGAACATAGCCTGTCTCTTAGTTAGAGAGGGTTTGAGGAACATAGGTTTTGAATTTATAATTACATGATGCCGCATCACAAAATCTTGCTGTTGAGCAGGCAGATTATATTGCATATTACCGCAATACTTTCCAAGACATTATTGTTGTCAGTTCTACAAGTGATAGCCAACAGTTTGTGAAGGAAATTTGTCTTTTCTGCTCGGAGATCATTACAACGCGTTATGGCATGTTGTCGCCTATGAAGACGCCCCTTGAAGCAAATATCCGAATCTCAGAATTTTTTTATTGAAGTACCCACGGATTCGGCAATTCAATAAACGTAATTACATCCCAAGTTGTTATCAAATTGCTTTCCGAAATATTAAGCGATTTTCATTACAGATAAATTCGGCGAAAGATGTAAATATACTCAGTAAATACCTTTCCCTTGTTTTCAGATACTAAGTTCGAATAAAAAAAAAATCGTGTTTCGATAACTTACCTTTTTTGCCAAAATAAAAACAGTTTAAAGTAATTTCTGGTCACACAGATATTTCAGTTCAGAAGCTGAGATCTGAGACATTTCATGTAACACAAGTATTACCTTATACCGCTTTACATTTCTTTTTTGGTATTAACAGGAAGGCTGTCACAGTGTTTCAGCCAAAACAACCCTTGTCTTGGCGCTGAATCCTCCTTGCATTTCGGTAATCTTGGCAGCTTTTGAACGTTTCAAAAGTATTCCATTAGATTTTTTACAAATCGATATATTTTTATACAGAAACGATATGGACTGAGAAGCATAAAAAAAGTTGATAGGACGATAAAGATAATAAATTTTTTACGATTTCTGATAAGTGTATTAATGATCCGTGAAAGGATTACTGAGTTAAATTCAATTATAGCTTTTAAACTGAGAAATTAAACGTGATCAGTTTGAAGGGAGAAATATGAAGCATTTGAATAGTCAAAAACATATATATTAACCATACGTTAGAAATTCGATGCATTTGAAGCTAAAAGGTTTCGACCAAGTGTTTCCCTTAATTTGTGACAAAATATACAAAATAAATGTCAAAGAATATAAAAGGAAATCGAATAGGTAAAAAACGTCTTAGAAATATTAATTGTCTGAAAGTTAAGCAATTAATACCATATCATCGGCACGTTTCTAATCAAAATGACATTTTCTATTCTCACATTAATATTAGATCTGGGTTGTTCTTCGGGTCCAAAAGTTATGTTTGTTGTTAAATCGTCAATCGAAAGAAAATGGTCGGCGTCGACAGTGAAAAATACGTTTAAAATTTTTTTTTTTGTAATTTTACTCAATTCATTTCGCACGAGGGAGATGAGATATTGAAGCTGAATGTCTATATCTGCAACACGCGAGGACCGAAACTGATTATTTTCTCGGTGATAGCCAGTAAAACAATACTGGCCAAATCTCAACTCACTTAGTGTAATTTAAAAGCAAGTGTCATTAGGTTTTTATTACATTTCCCTTTTTTGCAATATTGTTATGGCAACTTTAATTCATTCCTTTCACGGACAAGTACCTTTACTATTGTTTTGGCCGCAAAGAATCAACGAAGAAAAGAAATTTGAAGTGATTTTTTTTCTTAAAAAGTTCGACCATGCATCTCAAACACACATGGAAATCACAACATGTAATAATTACTAAATTAAACGCACTGATAATGTCGAAAAACAAAATTAAAACAGAAATGCAGTGTTTTGTTTTCAGCAACTCAAGGTAGACCATGTCAGAGATCAAAATATCCTCGATGTTGTTTAGCATTAACCATGACCAATTCGTCTAATTTTCAGTTCTTCACGGTTACGAGGTACTCCTTCATCAGATGCTTCACAAATCTCACTTTTCCAAACGAAGAAAAGCTACCGAAAGTAATTGTGATGCGCGTGACAATGATATAGATAAGATGTGTCTTTGTTCCTCATAATACACTGAAAAATTTCAACAATATCTGTTTTTTTATGTACACCACGTGACGCGGAAATTTTAGCTGAAACACTTTCATCAGAAACAAAACTGTGCTCTTTTAACATCTAAGTCATGCCTTTGATTGCCTCAAAACAAAAAAACAAAAAACATTTCCGTTAAAAAGTGTATCCTATTTCATCATCGTTTGATTGCCGCCGCCGTCACGAATCCGCGAACTTCAACCCCTGCGGAGTAAAGATACCTCTAATTTATCTTTACTGACCGGTTTGTAAACTCTCGATGTCTCTCCAAACTCAGATTTTTTTTAAGACTGCAATATATTACGTGCTAAGAACTGCTTATAGATTCTTATTTGGTTTTGACCCTTGGAAGACCTCGGGGAAATGCAGGGCGGAAGACAGTTTTTTTGAAAGATATAACATACCTTTAAATGCATGCAATGATCGGCGGTGTTTACTTCTCTTAAAATTAGTATCACGTGAACATTCCCCCAAGGAACTTTTGTCGGCAACAAGTCTTTAAAACTTACATCTAGATTTCACTTTATGTAATCGTCAGCTCTCAATCTTTCCACTTCCAAGATCTCATCGGTAACTTTCCCCAAGGTCTTCCATACCGGTTCCTATGATGTGAATACGGAGAATTTGGTATTGGGTTAACTAATAGGCCTTTACTTGATATTTTCCTATTTTCTCATCATTTGCCGGCTTGCAATTGATTTTGAGAGACAAGTTGTGTGTTGGGTGTACAGATGATTTCATAGATTTTGTTTTACGAAAGTAGTTGCTCGGTGAAATATCTTCTAAATGAGCATTTCTCGCTGTTAAGAAGAAAAAAAGTGTAAAAGAAGATACAAAGTTTTCGCTCAAATGGATTGCAATGAATATGTTGCGAGATAAAAATAAGTCACTTATTGCTAAATGGAATTATCTCTCTGAAAATGCGATGGATAACAGAGGAGGATAACAGCTTTCGCATGTTCTTTGTGCTCTTCTTTTGATCCCTTGGAAATAGTGTTCCAAAAAGATTACCCAGTTGTTATAGGTTAGTAACTTCACGGCTTCTTAGGAAAACCCTTTCTAAGAGAAGGTTGGGTTGGAGCTTAAACCCAGTAGGGGACTTATGTCTTATTGGTTTTGCTCCGGTACTACTTTGTACAAATCCTTAAATGAATTAATAAATAAATTCTGTAACTCAAGACCACCATGGTTTTATAATTGCAAGTAGCAAATTAAGATTATCTTTCTGCAAAGTTTTAAAAAGGTCTGCCAATGCAACTCACAGCAGCTTTGATTTTTGGGTCTTTTATCCTTACTTATAATCAAAGTGAACAGAACGAACCTGAGATAACTGAGTTATTTTTTATCCCGTTTTAAAGGAAGAAGCAAGGCAAGAGTGGTAACTGCTGAAGAATCTTAAAAGAATTGGGTGTGAAATACCGAAACCGTCTCGAGAAATGTCAGGGGGGAACATTTTAGTCTTACCTGTGACAGCTTACAAAGTGTGTTACCACAGCTGAACACAAGGTTCCTTGCATTGCTTATTTAAGTCTGGGAACTCGTTAAGAATTATAACAACTGTTTTAATAGTAAGAACTGGTATAAAAATTTCAATTAGGAGGTTCCTAAAATACCTTTGCTGTAAATGATACCACTTTAACAAGTGAAAAAAGGGAAAATAAACGTTTTACATTGTGCGAAATAAATCTCTGGTTACCGCAAACTGTGTCTGTTTCATTCTCACGATGTCTGTATCTGAACTGCAGCATCATGCTGCAGAGCCACAGTGTTCGAATATTTGGAGACAAAGCTTGTAGATATGACAGCACATGAAACTAAGCTACGCAACAAGAGTATCTAGTCCTAAAAGTGTTTGATCTGTTTCTATATCTGTCGTCGATGAAATCAGCTGTCCTTGGATAGAAATGATCGCTGAATGTAGAGAAGTGACTGAAATCCGTTAAACAATGTATTGGTGTAACATGCACCAGATTTAAACAGGAACTCACTCATAATCAGTTATTTAAAAGTTAAAAAAAAAAAACACACGTAATCGGCTCCTACAATCTCTGAACAAGGAAGAAGTATGCAAATGCAACGATATAAGGGGAGCAATAATGATGAATTTGAATTTGCTTCGTCTCACTGGGCCATTACTAATGCCAAAAATTATAATTCTTCCGGGAAATTTGACACGGGAAACTTCAAAAAAAGATGAGGATTTGAGAAGAATATGAATGTATCTCTATGGAACGTATTTGAAAGTACAGTTCTTTCCCCCAACGATTTCAACCCATTCATGCGAACACCGACAAGGAAATGAAACGGCTCATATCGGTTAATCCGCATAATTGTTTAGAGAAGAATATTTTTTGCCGCGGCCTTCTTGTAGAATAGTTTTAAAAATTTACTGATCAATTGATTAAAATTGGTGCAGACTTCTGAATTTTGTGGAGCAAGGAGATAGCGCTGGTATTTGCGCAAGTTCTTGCCCGAGAATAGCAAACTATGTCTTAAACTTAAGAAAAGGGGGCATTAAGCGGAAGACAGCCCATACAGAAAAAAATTAACGCTGAACAAATAGTTGTACCGTTAAATGAAACATCAAAGGCTGAAACAATTAATGATAGTTTTATGAATAAAGGCTATCATTTTTACATTTTTATGGAACTTGTCAAAGTCAAAACTAAAAAGTTCCACAGAAGGTTAGCAGCGAAGGAGATACATGCAATTACTCGATGAAGTACAATAAAGCAAACTTACTTTATCGTGTGCAGTTAGATTATTGCCAGAAAAGATGCTAACTCGGCCAGTTGTCGACTTCTTGTAAGCTTGCTCTTAGACCATGAAGATTTAATAAATTACCAGAGATCTTATTCTATAATTATACGAGACTGGAAAAAGTTCGTGTAGCGTAATTGCGTCACGGTGTATTTCGGAGAGCATTTGTCATCTAGAGAGATCGATAGACTAGCTCCTTCCTCTTCGGTCACCTCAATAAGGTATTCGGTTTTAATTCCAAATAACTGTTGTTTTAAAATAAAATAATACTAAAATAGACATGTTATTGGGCTGCGCAGAGGGGAAAGTAGCATTAAATCGAACATAGGATTAAGTAGCTTGAATATTCTGTTTACGCATCGCTTCCTGCAAGGAAAAACATCGCGGTCACACAAAAGGAAATGATTAATATTTTCTCTTGGGTCAAATTAATGTAAAGTGAACGTTAATAAATATATCTTTGTTTATTTTCTTTTGGAAAAAAGGTTAATATAACCTTATATATAATCATTTCGTGTTAAGCAGTGTGAAAAACTGAATCTCTCTTCTTTTGAAAATCGAAGTCTCCTCGTTCTTGAATAAAGATGAAGCAACACGCTTACTTAGAATGCAAATTGTGAATTTCAATTTCTGTATAATTAAGGTCATAACTGAAAGCAGACAGAAGAGTTGGTCTTTAAACCTTTCATATCTCTTATATTTACTGTATCAAAGATAAAGATAATGCTAACAAATTTTGATATTTACTTAGTGTCTGACATCACGGATAACATCGTAAGCAAAAGTTTTTGTCAGTGAAAAATTCAGCCGGAAATTAAACATGGTGTATTTTGAAATTTTTTTCAATCTTTCCTTTTTTATTTTTACCTTGAAAATTGTACGCAGGCAAAAACGTAAAGTGATTTGTAATTATTGCTGCGAATTTCCTTGCTACATTGAAGAGGGCAACTGATCTATGTTATATCAGACCTACCCAGATCCAGTCTTGGACCTAACTGACAACTAGAAAACCAGCCACATATTAAGACCGACCTCAGCTCCTTGAAACAAGAAAAACGATCGAGAAATATGACACATACCCATGTGAGACGTGCGGACCTGACAAGCGAATTATGGAAAGAAAAAAAAAAGAAAAAAAAAAAAAGGGGCTCTCCTTTTCACCAAAACCGAAAGCAGATTGTGATTGGTAACAGATACAACATAAGCATACACCTGCTTTCACTTCACAGGGGCCAAAAAGGCGACTACAGGAGCCAACAAAAATAGAGAATGATATCAAGTATTTCGGATTAAAACTGAAAAATTCAATGTACCCTCCCGTCCCTATCGCTTGTTTCTCTCATCGACGTCTAGTATTCAAGTTATGTTATTATCACCACTAAAAAGTTAATGTGTAAGAATAATGCGTATTTCTTGATGTCTCACTAATACAAATTGTGGCCCTAGGCTATCTGCTGATGGTTATAAGTATTTATGTAACTACTTCTGCCGAAACGCGACAAATTTCGTAAGAAAAGAAAAAAATTTCGGGTATTAAAAGAGCGAGAAATTTAGGCGTGGAATTTATAAAGTCCTAAAGGGAAATCAACGCGAGAAAGGCAGGGCTGTCAGAGATTGTCTGGTTCTGTTCCAAAAAAAAAAAATTGACTCCCACACTGACCTTTAAGATGCGCCGTCTTCCCTCTTTATAGAGAAAAGAAATCGGTCAAGAAAATCTTTACCTTTTAAACGTTTCAGCTTCATCCGGTCCAACAATAAGCACATCTATGCATTAAATAATTTAAAACAAAAAAGGGGCATATGAATACGCAATTCTATACTCCATGCCGCGATTGTTTAAGTAATGTTTCTACTGATGCATCAAGAGTCTTTAAATTAGATAAACGATGAACTCTCATTGGTCTAAAGTGCAGTCTAAATATGGAATCAGCAAAAAGATGTCATAAAATGATGGAGTATGAGAATTACACTAAAGTTCGATTTTTAACAGTTAGAGTCAACTTTTCAAAATACGACCTCGTTTGCTATTTAAGAATGTTTTGTCTTATTTTGATGGCCTGACTGAATTTCTTCTTTTACCCGCAGAGCATTATTTTAGGAACGCTGTAACATTAGTAAAGAGAGCTGAATATGGGTGTTGTTTGTATAAATCGTTCGGTGTAATTAGAGATGGCCGGCGGCCGAGCACAGTCTTAGATGTAATAAATACCCGGCAGTCAGAATTTTCATAGAATTTCCACTCGGAACGGTTTTTTTAAACTTCTTAAGGATATAAGATGTTTTTTAAGAAATGTTACGCGTTTCCAACATTGTTTTGGGTTTTAAGTGGACGAATTTTCCGAGATTGTGCACACCGTGAAATCTCCTAGACATGCCGAAAAAAAAAAAAAACCGAAGTTTGTAGGACGATTTTAATCAAAAGTATGACGTGTTAGTCCAACTAATTGGAAAAGATAGCGCGAAACAATTGCTGAAAGATATCTAAACACACTGTGCTGTTCACAACAAACAAGGCTTTCGCAACAGAGATCAGCGATCATTTCAACAATACACTCGCTGAGAGCCGGCTACATTGCGAGAATAAACAACAGCGAGGCAAATTGGACCTGAGATGCTTATTCAAATGGCTCTTCCTTTATTTAATTAAACTTTCACATTAGATAGATTATAAACATTTAGATTAACAACGCGAGAATAACTGATTTGTTTAAAACAAAAAAAAAAACTACCCAAATCATCCGGGAACTCGACAATGTGTCGGTAGGTCACAAGTTACGTGTCTTTCACAGGCATTTCTAACACTACCATGGCTCCCTTGCAACCAATAATCGTCAGGGAAGAACAGGCAATCTTGTCTCTACGCATGTACACTGAGCGAAAGTTAAACTACCGGCGCAAATATTTTTTACACTCCTTAATTTCTGGCGACGTTAAGTGCCCGGCTTCTCAATGGCGCCGAGCAGGTGTCCTCCATTAAGTTAAAAAATCGCTCTGATGATAAAATAATCTGAGATTTTTTTTTTTTTTCATTGCAGCAGTGAAGGCTGAGTGCTTCCGTGGTCTGGTATGGCGGCAAGAACATACAAAAAGAAAGACAGCGTGAAAACAAATGAACCACATTCATTCTGCCGTTATAGCGGCTAAAACTTTAGACGCGCAGTCACCAACCTGCAAAAAAAACAAACACACACACACACATCACAACATAATTCTCATTGTTGCTTGAGAGGAGGTTAGTGGAGAGAATCTTTGGAAATTTGGCCGGAGATGCGCTTATTCCTTTCGAAGGAACAAGTCGATGACATTTTTAAGAAAATACACAAATATGAAAAGTTTCTCCAACGCGAGAATGGGAAATTCGTCACCCGCAAAATTAACCCGGGGCTTTTCCTTGTAAATCTCTCCTCTGATACACAACACCAACTCTTTACACCACCAGTAAACCGAAGAAGTAAGGATAAATCGTATTCGACTTTGTTTTAAAACAAACACATCATTCTGGTGGCCCTGCCCCTTCCAAAATTCTTGACCTAAATTTTTCCTGAGCCTTCGCTTTTGAAAGTATTTCTCAAATTTATACTTCATGACAATCCTGAGCATGTTTATATATATATAGTCGTTGTATATATATATATATATATATACAACGACTTAGGCGTTAGCCACAAGGACTCTGAAACAGAGCCTTCTGCTCGCAACTGAGAAACTAACACTTGCTTGCAAGCTATTCGCAGACACTTTTTTTCATTCTTAGCTAACTTACATGGTATCATAGACAGTTGCAAAATGAATAAATTTTAAATAGGAGCGACTTGAAAAAGTTGTCTTATAGTTGAGAGTGGCACTCAACCAGAATCTTAAGTGAACAGATTTGTTCGTTAATCCTCATCGAACCTTGACTAATTTTTTCAGACACTTTTTTTTATATTGTGACTTTCATTATAGATGCCCTGTGAAATCAATTTGTCACTCGTTACCTCGACCAAGGTCACCGTATGATTTGTCTCTAATCTTCTATAAGAGAACAAAAAAACCCTTCTTAAATAATTACCTGGCTCCCAGGACGTAGCTTCATAGCTCAGTTGGTAACAGCGGGGTTAAATTTCCCGTGATGCGGCATTAAATATTTCGCACGTTTTTTTTCTGGAATGACCTTAACTGTAACTAATCTATATAGGTGATTTTGTCACTTCTGGTAAAGTGGTGCCAAATTTGTGAACTGAGCACAAAGTTGCTCTCTGTCATATTTGTCATTTGGAAGCCGTGATGTACGACTTACCTTGGGTGGATCATTGATGAACGACAGGATCTTCAATGAATTTTCAATTCCTAACGATTGTGCCAAGGAAAGCGCGTCAGAATCGCCCCATATCTGTTGACGAAAACAAAAAAAAAGCGCGATCGCACAAGTTCAATTTGTCAATTTTCAAAGGGAAAAACTAAAAAGAGTTCTTTTAAGTCAACTTATTTTAACTAACGCTCCCGTACCAAAGTTCCAACTGCTACAAGAGATCTGAATCTGGCTTCATTGTCTGTTTCACTTTCTAGGATCTACAAAGATAATCGTATTAGAAATCAAACATCGCTGCAATTTGTTGAGGAACTGAGCGACAGTACGTACATTAAAAATTCGTCTGAATATGACACTTACGTCCGCAAGACTTGATAAACATTGAGTCTTTGCTTCAAAATCATGATGCTTCCGTAAAAGGTCAGAAAAACTATAAAAGATCAAATACAACTCAAAACATACGCCCTCTTATTGCCCATTTGACTCTAGTTTGTTTAACACAAAATCGACTCAGGCATTTTGAAAGGAAGTATTACGAACAATACAGTAACGATGCATGCTTAGTCACACAGCTCTGAAGACATTCGAAAATTCACCCACATCATAGAAACGACGCCAAAAGAATGTACTCATTTCGATATCCAAACGAACGGAAGCACTTGCGTGCTCTCTTGAGACTATGGTTTACCTTCAGCGATGCTCTAAATTGGCTTGCACGTCGCCGACGCTGTGTGAGAGGTTTCCCTGCCTACGGTTACTTAGTTTTGTCTCCCTCATGATACCCCAAGGACTCTGTTACATAGACCCATCCTCTTTTCTTTCTCTCCACCTCTTTCATAAAAACACTATAAGCTGACTGCAGTTCCCATCACTGCATTTTGATGACTATTTCAAACATTAGACACTTACTTGAGTAAAATGGTACATATTGACACCCTAATGTTCTTGTTAGAGCACTTACACCACGATATCGTATGTTCTACAATCTGAGAAATAGAAGGCAAAATTTTTATTAAGAGAGGATTTACCGAGAAGCGATTTCCATGCGGCCTTTTACAAGAATGTCTGGTTAACCTTTTACGCCCTGACAACAATCAAGAACTCCTTTAGTTGGCGATCATTTACTTAATTCTCATGATTAATTCTCATGCTTGATTCAGTGGTGATATTTGTAAGAAGAAATTACTTGCTAGTCATTCTTAGGTGGTCAAAGGGTTAGGATGTGTCTGAAGAAAGAGTTTGAAAGGAAATGCAAATGGTGTTAGTTCCGGCAGTTAAAGCGATGGCCACTCACGAGGTTGTATTCATATGTTATATGACTGGCTTAGCACGCAAACAAGATGAAGCAAACCCGGTGTTCTGATCGGCTACCCATGCATTTCGTGCACTGTTTGTTGGCTTTGTATTGGTCCATGAGAACATCACAAAAACTAACAGATAACTCAATAATAATAATAATAATAGTCATCATCATCATCATCATCATCATCATCATCATCATCATTGTCATCGTCATCTTTATTTAACGCGGGTAAAAACACTTAGCTGAAAAGCTAGTTTACAGTTTTTCCACCAAACAACTGAAACAAATAATTCATATTGAAAGAGTGATTTTTCACTGGCTGAGTGGAACGAAATAAGTGAAAAATGTTTTTCTCACACGCCGCTGGGGCCCGGGTTTAGGCCATGTGACCTATGGGACAGGCAGTTGTTTTTGTTGCGTCCGCCATT